CAATCGGTTACGATTGAAAAACTACATGTGTATTGATAATCGATAAATTTTGTGGTCGACCGTTATACTATAATAACAAAATTCTGACAATATTCACATTCATTATGTAATAAATTTATATCGTTAATAACTTTAATGTGACATTTTCTTTCAATGTAGAATATGGTACTAATAATTTGTATATTGCTTTAAATATTGTAAGCATAAATACTGTATACCTTTAAATTAGCAAAATTAGTTACAGTTACTATTATATTAACATGGATAGTAAATCATAACCTCAAATATTTTAATGTAGCCCCACACACCCATAATATTTTAAAAATATATTCTGATAAATTCGCAAAAAAAAAAAAAAGAAAAAAAAACAAGTCTTTTGACAACCATAAACACCTTCATTTTAAAATAAGGACTGTTTTTAATAGATTACTTCGCTGACAATTAATCTCTAATTCTAAATCAAGCCAAACTTTTAGTGAAATGTGTTAATATATATATATTCGTGCTAGGTATCCGCAAAAAACACCCGTGCGGATCAGAATTTTTTGAGGCTATAAAATAATGTTTCATAACTGGTACTTGACCATATCCGCCTGATTTTGAGAATTATTATTAGCAAACAGGCACGTGTAAAGTACGAGCCTTTTACAGGTAGAAGGTAGATGATATAATAGTAGTGACAGAAAAAATTCGCAATTAGGTGAGTGACTTAACATTAATTAATAATACAGTAATATATCTAATTGTTTAATTATTACGTTCTGTGAGATTCAAAGCGAGCAGAAATCATCTGATCGTAAATTTTTTCTGCCAACACTATTAACACTATTATACCTCCTATTTATAGAAGTGAGTTTACCACGCTAATCACATATATTGATTTCGGCTCAAGTACCAATTATGAAACGCTATTTTTATAGTGACTAAAAATATCGATCCGTGTGGGTAATTTTGCGGAGCTTTATTTCGTACCATATGTACAACCAATATACTCTAAAAAAATTAATATAAGACTCCAAACCCTAAAATGGCATGCCCCGATAGAGGCGTGGATAGATTGATCAGAGTATTAAGGTCCTGTTGCAACTAACTTAGGGCTTAGATAACAACAGTACGTACATCTCGATCTCGACCTGTACTAATCCAGAAATCTAATCTTGATATTACTTACAAGTCACAATTACATCAAATTCGATCCGGTTAACCCGTCAAATACTAACAGAATCACTAATCACATCATCACGCAAAAAAGAGAGCTGTTCTTGGGTCGTGTACCATTTTCCCAGATCGGTGCAAGGTGAAAATACAAGAAATTGAGCGTTTAAATCTGCTTTGTGTCACTACTTAAAACGACGGTGATTACGGGACTAAATTTACAATATGTACCCTAACTAACTCCAACCAACTTTAACCAACCTTAACCCGATTTTAATGTTCAGAATAACAATATATTTTTTATGGTTTTTTTTTCTTTACTTATATCACTCGCAAAAGTAGGCTTGATTTTAAGTCACACAATAATGCAGATCACAGGATCATGTCACTTCGATCTTTTTCGACGCTTTCCCCGTTGTTTATTCTTTTCAACCATTATATAACGTAGTGTAGCATCAGCTTTTTACGTAGTGATTCTCATTGTTACAGGTTTGTTAGCGGTCATTTCAACAATCTGACTTTATAAACAGATTACTGTTAAAATAGATTAACGTTAAAGCAACGTTGTACATGTGATTGATTCCTAAATTTGTATTTAATACAAATAATTAATACAAATAAATAAAGATTTAAGTTAACAAAATTTACAAATAAAATCTAAGTAAATAAATAAATAAAAGATTTAACATTAACAAAAGTTACAAATAAACCTAAATAAATAAATAAATAATAAGTTAACAAAAAATCACTAAGTTTAAAACAAATAAACAAACCGGATAAGTCTTTCACGTGAGTATTAAGAGAAATCGAAATTCGTAATAGTATATTATCATAATCTTTTTAATATGTATTTTTTCTTTCAGTTATATAGAAAGTAATATTATTTACCTAGATAGTATGGATTTTTTAAATGCTTTAAATAAATAGCTATCTTCCATCTTATAAATGAATTCTATAATTTTGGTCAGCACGAGCGTATATTAATCTATCCTAATACACTGATACAATAGTAGTGTACTAAACTAGCAGATATTTCTTTGAAAATAGTTTATTTTAGTTAAACAAGAAAAAACATGTAATATGTATTATACTGTCTTGAATCAACAATTTGAGGGCCGTTAAGAGATTCTATTGCTTTCATAAAATAATTATGCTTCAAAAAATTTTTTCTCTTTTCTGCATTGGAAAACGAAGTTGCAAAAGATATATGAGTTGTATACAGTAATAAAATGATAATATTATAATACCAAATCATTTATTTAGTAAGCTTAAAATTATTTATCGATAAATTTAATTTAATAAAATTTACAACTGTTATAAACAATTTATTATATGTAATAAATAGTTGAGAAATATTCAGTTATTATAAAAAACAATAACTCAGATTCGTTAACTAGCAATATTTTTTTTTAGCATATAGATCACGTAATATCATACTTACGGAAATATGATTTAAGCACTCTACCGTACGTGCTTAAAAAGCCGATATTACATAATTGAGCACATCATGATCATTTTTAATCGTTTAAATACTATGCCGTATTCCCAGAAAAAATGATTAAGTTTAAATTCATCTTCATAGGTTTTACTTTACAGCATTCATTTATGATTGGTAATTAGTGATTAGAACTCCATAATTAAAGTTATTAGTCGCTTTCAAAAACAATTACCCGTTTTTAAATAACAGTTAAGTAAATTATTTTGGTAGCCTTGCTGAAGGAATACGAACACAAAGGCAAGAAATGTCTAAATAATTCATAATGTAAATTAACAAACTGATTTATCGCCAATGCTGTATTAACTATTACAAAAAAAATAATACAAAGCACACCAATGATGCTTAACATACACACATATTTTTATAGCGACAAAATTAGAATTTGGAATTTTGAAAACACTAAAAATTTTAACTAATAGACGGTTTTTATTCCACGGGCATTTTTTCAGCAAACACGTCATTAAATTTACTGTAAGATGTAATGAATTTACAAGTTTAACTTATTATTAAGTAATTTGCCATGAGGTAATTTAATGCATGCGTTTTTAAAAAAAGAAGTTACGTATGTACGTAGAAGAATGCAGGAAAAAACCTTTAAACAGTTTAAAGCATGGTTATACATATAAGAGTATTTTTCTAGAAAAGGAATTAGCAATCATCTCGAAATTTTGAAATATTCATATGACTTACAATGCTCTAACTTGCGTAAACGTAATTTAATGAAGCGACGTAGAACGAAAATTACAAGTATTCCCAATAATGTTAAAAAAAAACATTATTTTTATTTTGTAATTTAATCAATTAAAATGCTAACAAAAAGTATTTTTTTTATCCAAATCATTTTCTAAAATTATCAAAGATTAAATTTTTTTGAATAAATTTTAGCGATATTTTTAATTTTATGACTTTAATCATTGATTTTAATCGTTACTTGAATTCCCTGTTTAGCCTTTTCAATTTCAGATTTACATTTTTGGTTAGATAAATTCGGTATGCAATAATGGTTTGACAACATATTTATTATATATATTTACATCTTTATTATTATTTCTCAAAATTCGTGGTAATTTATTGGCTACGTGAAATGAAATCATAAAACAGTTCCAAATGTCTATTGCATCGAAAAAAAAGAAAAAAAAAACCATTAAAGAATTTGTTCGCAATTAACTAATATAGATTGCTGCATTAATTCATCATAACTTTGCTATTATAATATAATGGAAAAACTTTCTCCCACTGATTTGTTTTGTTTAACACAATTGCATATGCACGCTATTGATTCAGAGTATTCCTCACTTCACCGCAATATTTTTTTTTGATCCTAGAATGGTAAAGTAGTCTTTCCTACCTAAGGTTAACATAAAGGCGGTTTAATTTGAACATGCTTAATTATAATATTATTAAAAAATAATCTAGCATATTAAATTATTTGTAATCTACATGAATTAAATTATGAAAATCGAATTCATTAGCCAAGTAAAACTCAAAAAATTTTATCACAATTAATTAAAAAGTACCATTTATGTGATCGAGATGTCAAAGATATCTAAACGAAAAATCAAAAATTTTTAATAAAAGTTATCTGATCTGAACGTATGATAAATGGCGTAGATGATAAAGTAGATAATATGCATTCTTTACTGTTTGTTATCGTAAAAAAATAATTTATAGCAATAATAGGTTCGTACAAATAAATAAATGAGCATTACGCACGTAAATGTCGTTCTAAAGGGCTAGTTCTGAAATTCATAATATATGATTATTTCACTGATTAAAGAAATCTCAGAAATTGCATTAAGGAGTAATATGCTTAGTACTAGGTCAAACAACATTTGAATTTTGAAGAACAAACTTGTAAATCGTATGTGTTTCGTTCAATCTTTGTTCCACTAATTTGATCGACACAGATCTTAGGCGGAAAATCCAAAATTAGACAATGCTGCAATTAATTGTAAACAAATACGCATAATTTAAATTGAAATAATAAAAAGCATACATATATTAATGCATCTGTCAATCATAAAATATGCAATTCTTTATTACTGCGGTGTCTTAATACTTGTAAAATGCAAGAATGCTATTAATTTACCAATAAGTTTTATTTTGAAAGCAACGGTCACTTGCACAACGTCTATAACACATTGTATTAATGACAAATAACTTGATAACCAGAATAAGTTTTACAGCTTCTTCTCTTGTATTACACTTTCTTGCGATTGGTTTTATTATGATAACCTCACGACAAAGCATTTATTATAAATAGGATTGGATTCAAGCTGTTGAGTCTTCAGTATCCCTCACAATACGAAATCCATATTGTATTTGTTATTATATAACAAGTAACAATATGTTACTCCCTCGTTCTACTCCACTCATATCCGCTGTCATAATCCTTCTCCTCCTTAACACAACCACAACAACCGCCAACAAAAATGACGACAACTCTAATTCCCTTAACAAACGCCACGAAGAAAGCGATAAGTTTTCTAACTATTTTTCATCCCATAATAAAAAACACCACAAAAATTCTAAATCCCATAATTACCGCAAAAATCGAAGCAGTCGCCATAAGTCTTCATTAGACAAATCAGAAGAAGATGATGATGATGGTTACAATTTTTTTAAAAATGTTGGCAATTATTTTACAAAGGACAATTCTGTAGATAAATCAATAAAAAAAATAGAAAACGATGTCAATAAAGAATACCACGATGGCCATAATTCAAAAGGTTATTCATCAGGTGACGAATATAAATCCGAAAATCACAATAGTAATTCTCATTCACAAGGTCATGAATCAAAAAACGATTTCTCAGAAGGACATTCATCAGGCAAAGGTTATAAATCCGGAGACCACTATGGTAACTCTTATTCACAAGGCCATAATTCAGAAGACGGTTACTCAGAAGGCCATTCATCAGGCAAAGATTATGGATCTAAACAACACCATAGTAACGATAATTATGATTCTGAAAAAAACCACGATGGATATGGTGAACACCACAATGGATATGGTGAATCTGAAAGTCATCACAGAGACAGTAACACTGAATCTTCACACGAACATGATGTCAATGATTATTATTCACATAACCATGGCAATGACTATGAATCACACTCACAACACGACGGAAATAACTACCATTCTCAATCAAATGAAGACGACTCTTATCATTATAATCACGGTTCTTCGGGTGACAATGACGACTCTTATCATCATAATCACGGTTCTTCGGGTGACAATAGACATGGAAATAACCCCACAACTTGTACCACTGGAGTTGGTGGCGTCGGTGGAACCACTGCTGCTGCCCCAGTTGTTGCTGGAGCCACTACTGCTCCTGGAGCTGCCACTACCTACGTCCCTCCTAAAGCTCCTGGAGCCACTACTGATCCTCATGTTGCTGGAGCTGCCACTACCTACGTCCCTCCTAAAGCTCCTGGAGCCACTACTAATGCCGTTACTGGAACTCCCCAAACCACTGCTAATGTCGCTGGCGCTCAAACAACTGACAATGTTCTCATTGCCCAAACAACTGGTGCACCTGTAAACGCTGCTGGAACTACTGCTAATGTTGCTGGTGCTAAAACAACCGACAAAGTTATCGGAGCCCAAACCACTGCTAATGTTGCTGGTGCTAAAACAACCGACAAAGTTATCGGTGCCCAAACCACTGCTAATGTTGCTGATGCTAAAACAACCGACAAAGTTATCGGTGCCCAAACCACTGGTGCACCTGTAAACGCTGCTGGAACTACTGCTAATGTTGCTGGTGCTAAAACAACCGACAAAGTTATCGGAGC